AAGTTTCTCCTTCGAAGCCAGGATTTTGAAGCTCTGTCTCATATACTTTGGGCATGTGACCAGGAAAGGCCGATCCTTGGAGAAGGACATCATGCTTGGAAGGGTGGAGGGACAGCGCAGGAGAGGAACACCCCAGATAAGATGGATTGACACAATAACTGGGTAAATGGAATGTTGAAGTCAGTAATACCGGCTCAGGACAGAGCAGGACTCAGAGCTGTTGTGTATAGGGTCACTATGAGTCACAGGCAACTTGATGACACATAACAACAACAAGAAGAAACTGCACTGCGATCCCAGAGGAACGAAGTTCAAATCTACCAGCTGCTCCAGGAGAAAGATGGACAATCTCCTCCCATGCTATTTATTGCCTCTGAAAACCCACTGGAGGGTCAGGTAACGGTCAGTTCTGACTCAACTGCAAAATAGACACACAAGCAGCCAATCTGAAAAGCTATACACAGTAGGATCCCGAATATAGAACATTCAGAGAAAAGCAAAACTATAGACAGTGAAATGATTAGTGGTTTCCAGGGATTCAGGGTATTTTTCAGGCAGGGAAACTGTTCTATGTGACACAGTAATTAATGGCAGACATTTGCCAAGATCCATAGGAATGGACGGCACCTAACAACAACAACCACCACCACCACCATCCCTTGCTTGGAATGCTCTTCCCTGCCTCTTTACCTCACTAACACTAACCCTTCAAGGCTTAACCCAGCTTTTGCCTCCTCAGTAAAGTCTTGGAAACATTTGTGAAATGGATGCGTCAACAACTAGCTGAAACATCACAACAATACCACCACTCACAGCCGTATGGAATCTCGTCCACTCAAACCCCTCTCTCATTTACTGTGTATTTGATCTTCACGACAATCCTGTGAGTCAGGAGGGAAGATAAGTTATGATCCCCAACTTGAAGAAGGAGAAACTGAGGCTCCAAAAGGCTACGTGAAACAAGTTCTCTGCTTCACAAGTCAGTACTCTCTTCACAGGGGAAGTTTTGCAAAAGGTAAAATCTATATTCATTTGCCTTTCAATCAAAGGAGAGTAGGAAGTAACGGCACTAGTGGTGAAAGTTAACTATCGAGTTCTTTTAGTTACGGGGGGCTATCCATTTCCCAGAAAGAGTAGGAAATAATACCTATGTAGCATAATAGCTCCATGTCTAGTCTGAAAGACAAGACCCTTAGAAGCTCTAAACACCCAAAGGACCCAGGTAGCATGGTGCATTATCTGCTGAGCTGTTAACCAAAAGGTCATTAGTTCAAATCTACCAGCTACGTTCAGGGAGAAAGGTGTGTGGGCAGCCTGCCCCTGTAAAAATTTGCAGCCTAGAAACCCGACAGAAGGCAAGTTGTAAGTGACTCGGTGGCAGCAGGCCAGCATCCTAAAGGTGTCATCCACCATTTAAAAGAAACAATGAACTTTAGCTCAAAATAAATGGTAAAAATCTCACGAAGAAAAAGTAAAGTGATAATGATGTAAGAGGACGAATGCAGTAAATTTCATCAAATTAATTAGACACAGGAAAGTATTAGATTTGCAAATGTTTTATGATATATATCTTCGTTGTTGTTGTTATGTGCTGTTGAGTCACTTGTGACTCATAGCGACCCTATGTACAACAGTCCTAGATCTTGCTGCCCAGTGCCAATCTCACTGTCTCTGACACTCCCATCCCAATTACCCCAGTCACTAAATCAATCCACCTCATAGAGGGTCTTCCCCTCCTGCTCTGTCCCTCTACCCTCCCAAGCATGATGTCCTTCTCCAAGGACAGGTTTCTCCTCACAACATGTCCAAAGTATGTCAGACGAAGCCCCAGAATCCTTGCCTCCAAGGAGCAGCCTGGTTTAACCCTCTCCAGGATTAATCTGTTTGTTTTCCTAGCAGTCCATGGTATTCTCAATACTCTTCTCCAGCACCACAGCTAAAAGGCATCAATTCTCCTTCTATCCTCCCTAGTCATTGTCCAACTCTCTGATGCATAAGAAGTGATTGCAAAGACCATGGCCTGTATCAGACACACCTTAGTCTCCAGAGGACTATCAAAGGCATAATTTTCCCCTTAGACTAACCTCTGTGGGACTTTTAGTGAAATATCAAATCCCCCCTCCCTTAATTTTTTGTTTGTGTGTTGTTAATTTTTTTTTTCTTCCCCTGCTTTGCAAACACTTAGCCTAGTCTACCTTTAGAAGTCTTTGACTCTGGCCTCTATGGACCCCCTATACAGTGGTGACCCCGGGTGGAGGGAAAGGAAGTTCCTGGGGCAAGAGGCTCAGTATTTGCTGGGAGGAGAGGCAGAGAGGTGAGAGGATGAGGGAAAGCAGCAGCAGGTCTGCCCCTGGCACGTGGTGGGGTGCAGACTTGGAGAGCAGTAGGAAGCTGGAAGATGCCCAGGACAGGAGGGAAGAGGAAAGCCCTGCCCAACGGTAGGTGTAGCACGGAGAGCAAGTCAGGAATCAGGAAGGAAGCAGGGCTTCCACTGTGAGCCTGGGCCTAAAGAGTTGGACCCACCAACTGTTCATGGTGTATGGGGACCTGGGAAGCAGTCCTGAGGAGGAAAACCATCTTTCCCACCTTCTTCCTCCTTGAACTCAGGGAGAACCAGGATGGTTCTGAGATGTCAGAGTGAGTCAGAATTGACTCAGCGGCATTTGGTTGGATTTGGTCTTCCACATGCGCAGTAGTACACATGGGTCTAGAGAATCAGAGGCCTGTGTCCTGGTACAATAAGTGCCCCCTAAAAGGAGGACGACCTGAAACACTTGCTGCAGAAGATCAAGGACTGCAGCCTTCAATACGTATTGAAGCTCAACATCAAGAAAACAAAGATTCTCACCCCTGGGCTGATTGGCAGCATCATGATAGATGTTTAAAGAGATTGAGATTATTAACATCTTTAGTGGCTCCACAATCAACACTCTTGATATCAGCAGCCAGGAAATAAAATGACAAATTGCATTGGAAAAGTCTGCTGTCAGAGACCTCTCCAAAGTACTGAAGAGTAACGATGTCAGTCTAGAGACTAAGGTGCATCTGATCCAGACCATGATCTTTGTAACTACTTGCTATGTATCAGAGAGCTGGACAATGACTAGGGATGATAGAAGGAGAATTGATGCCTTTGAGCTGTGGGGCTAGAAAAGAGTATTGAATATACCATGAACTGCCAGGAGAACAAGCATGTTCGTCCTAGAGAGGCTGAGATCAGGCTGCGCCTTGGAGTCAAGGATTCTGAAGCTTCATCTGACATACTTTGGATATGTTGCAAAGAGGGACCAGTCCTTGGAGAGGGACGTCATGCTTGGGAGGGTGGAGGGACAGCACAAGAGAGGAAGACCCTTGATGAGATGGATCGATTCAGTCACTGGGGTAATAGGGATAGGTATATTGGAGACCGTGCGATTGGCACAGGCTAGAGCAGGATTTAGGGCTGTTGTACATAGGGTTGCTATGAGTCGCAGGCGACTTGATGGCACATAACAACAACAACAACATACCTTAGGGAGCTCTGGTGGCCTATGCCTCGGAAAACCCTTTGGAGGGTCAGCAATGGGACAGTTCCGACTTGATGGCACAGAACAACTACATCAAGCCTTCGTTAAAGCAGCTCTGGTGGCCTAGTGGTAAGGAGTTGCACTGGCAACCCAAAGGACCCGGATTCAAATCCACCAGGTGGTCCGCGGGAGGCAGATGGGCAGGCTCCTCCAGTACAATTAACTGCCTCTGAAAACCTGTTGGAGGGTCAGCTGTGGGTCGGTTCCAACTCGATGACATACAACAACAATGATTTGTTTAAGGTTGTTGTTGTTGTTGTGTTGTGAGTCGAACACAAAAGGCCTGAAGCCCCTCTATAACTATCGACAATTATCAAAGTTCATAGTTTCCCTGGGCATGTTATTTAGGAAGTAGATAGATGGGCAATCTCCTCTCATGCAATACACTGCCTCTGAAAACCTGTTGAAGAGTCAGTTATGGGTCAGTTCCTACTCAAACTACATAATTACAACTTATTACTATGTCCCCAACTTATCCTCCCGTTTAGCTCCCACAATATTAACAAACTCTCAGGATATAGTCATTGGTGTGGCAGCAGAACTGACTCGTAGCTCACCCTCCAGTGAGTTTTCAGAGGATGTAAATTCCACCGGAGATTTCTTACTTTTCTCCTGTGCAGCCACCGGTGGATTTGAACTGCCAGAGAGGTGCACTTTGGGGTAGCAGCACGACTCCGCAGGGACCACACTGTGGGTACAGATACACCAGAGGAATGAGTTGGGTTCAACAAGCATGAATGGGGCACCCGCCTTGCTCCAGGCCCAGTACCTGTGCCCTGCGTGAATAAACCCACACCTGACCCCGAGGGTCCTGGTGGGCTAGGCTCCCCTACCCTCACAGCACATGCTCCTGCTCCACCCTTGTTTCCATGATGCCCCTGCGGGAAGGGACGGAAACTGCAGGGCTCTTTGAAAGGCCGGATCTATCCTGGGTGGCCTGGGGGATGGGGGTGGGGGGTGGGGGGTGGACTCAGCTCCCACCCTCAAGTAAGGGAAATGAGTGTTTGTGCCTAGTGCTCTCCCCACCCTGGAGCCCTGGGGGCGAGTGCAGGCTAGGTGGAGGAGACAGCCCCTTCCTGATGCTTCTTTGGGGTGGCAGTCCCCACCTCCCACCCCAGGCTCCAATGGCAGAACGCCAATCGCCCCGGGAATCCTGCCCCGGTGGCCCCACCTAGGGAGGTCCCATTCCCACAGTCCTCCAGCGCGGCTTGGAGCCTTCCTTCCCCGAAATACACACGCGAGTGTACACATACACACACTGACGACAACAAAAACCCCAAGGAAACCAAAGCCAGGAGCGGCATGCTGTCTGGAACATGGGTGGGAGAGGGGGGCGTGCGGAGAGGAGGGAAAGCCGAGGCAGGGGGGGCTTGGGGCTGTGACTCAGGCCCCAGGAAGCCGGCGACTCCCAAGATGGGCTCTCTAATGACTCACAGCGACTGGAGACTGGGCAGCTTCCACAGCGCCTCTGCGGGGATTCCTCCCAGCTGGTTGTTCTGCAGCATCCTGGAGGGAGAGAGAAGAGGGCTTTGAGGACTTACATGTGGGGTGTGGGGCTGGGGTGAGGGCTGCTCCCTGAACCCTCAGTCCCCCAGACCTGCCCTCTCACTCCAGCGCCTGAGCCCTGCAGAAAGTCCTAGGTCTAAAACTTACTGCCTTCTAGTTGGAATCCACTCATAGCTGACCGGGCTTCCAAGGTTGTAAATGAGAAGGACATTGGCCACCTTTCTCCTTCAGACTTGCTGGCAGATTTGAACACCAGAGAGGCATGGTCTCTGGGCTAGTCGGGTAAATCCCTACTGACTAGACCACCAGAGCTCCCTAGACCTAGTTCTGCTGGCTGTCCCCAAACCCTACACACACACACACACACACACACATACACACACTACCATAACCATGGAGTAAGTATAGGATTGAGGGGCTCAATTTGGGGGAAGACCTCCAAAGGACTTCTGGGAGGAGGTAAGGGGTAAACAGGAAGATGGAGAGATAGGAGCGAACACATTTTATGATAAGAGCAGTGAGGACTGGAAATAAGTATATCTAGGAACCTGAAGCAATAGTTGGGAAGAAGGATGCAAAGAAATGCAAAGTTTTTCTCCCAGCCTCAGTTTCCCAGCTGTGGGTCTGGGGATTTCTTTGGAAAAGGGAAGGCAATCTATAGATACAGTCGCAGGTTCCCCGGACCAGAGTGTCAGCACCATTCTGCGGGCACAGTCTCACACAATCCTACAGAAGAAGGAAGAATGGAAGTGGTCAGCTCAATAAGCTGCCCACTTAGACTGAGGCCCAGTCTTAGAGTGCCAGGTCAGTCCCGTAGAGAGGAGTCCTGGTGTTACTTGGAGCACCTGAAGAAACTCAAGTGTGGACTGAAGGCAGAGAATGGGGTCTCAGGGTCCTCCTACAAGGGACTGTCAGCCCAGGCCCTCAGGAACTTGAGGAGGTTTGGAAAATATTGAGGAAGGCACTCCAAAATACCCACTTGTCCCATCCTAAGGGCAGAAATGGGCAGGGAGTCTCTGGTGACAGCTGCCTTCTGAATGCTCTAGTCCTGGACTTTAGAAATGAGGAGCCGGAGGACACGTGGGTGTGGACATCAGGACTTCAGAGACTAGCTGGACAAGAGAGAGGAAGGAAGTGTGAACTTCCCTAGGCAGAGTGAGGGAGCCCCACCTCTCGCAGGCGCACCTGGGCCAGCCCAGCCCCCAAGGGTGTGCAGCCTCCACCAGCCAGCTTCTCGGCCAGGGAGGGTGTAGCCTGTGAGCTATATTGTCTACACCCAGAGAGCACTGTCAAGCCCATCTTTCAGAGGACAAACCTGAGACTCAGAAGAAAAGCATCATTCAGATAACTCTAGGACTTGTGGCTCACCTCTTGATCTTTTCTGAATCCAGTATAATAATACACATTATTATATTATGTTGTTGTTTTGTGTCAAGTCGCCCGAGACTTATAGTGACCTTATATACAATGGCTCTGAATCCTGTCCTGTCCTGAGTCAGTCTCATTGACACCAACACACCTACCCCTCTTTGCCCCTGTTATCAATTCATCTCATCTAGGGTTTTCCTATCCTGTGCTGTCCTTTCACCCTTCCAAACATGATGTCCTTCTCCAAGGACTGGTTTCTCCTGGCCATGTGCCCAAAGTATGTGAGACAGAGCTTCAAAATCCTAGCACCCATGGAGAAACTTGGTTTCATCCTCTCCAAGACAGACCTATTTGTCTTCTTGGCAGTCCATGGTATGTTCAAGATTCTTCTCCAGCCTCACAACTCAAAGGCATCAGTTCTTCTTCTGTTGTCCTTAGTCATTGTCCAGCTCTCTGATACAGAACAAGTAACTGCAAAGATCATCGCCTGGATTAGGTACACCTTAGTCTCAAGACTGACACCAATGCTTTTCAGTTTCTAGGGATGTCCCTGACACAAGATTTTCCCAGTGCAATTCATCTTTTTATTTCCTGACTGCTGATGTTAAGAGTTGATTGTGGAGCCAAGCAAGCTGTAATTGTCAACAACCTCAATCTCTTGTCCATCTATCACGGTGCTGCCAACTGGCCAGTGGTGAGAATCTTTGTCTTCTTGATGTTGAGCTTCAATCTATATTGAAGACTACATTATTATATCATTGTTAAGTATCTTTGAGTCATAGACAACTCATAATGACTTTATGAACAAAAGACCTGAACACTTGTATAACTTTTATAATTTCTCCAAGTTCATAGAGTTTCCAGAGGCAAGCTATTTCAGAAGTGGATGCCACTCCTGCTTCCAAACCTGTTTTAATTGGGGAGTTATAAGGACTGTAGCCTTCAATATGGATTGAAGCTCAACATCAAAAAAACAAAGATTCTAACCACTGGACAAATTGGCAGCATCAGTATGGATGGTGAAGAGATTGAGATAGTTAACAGTTTTAGTTTACTTGGTTCCACAGTCAAAACTCTTGGTAACAGCAGCCAGGAAATCAAGAGATGAATTGCATTGGGAAAGTCAGCTGTGACGGACCTCTCAAGAGTACTGAAGAGCAACAATGTCAGGCTGGAGACTAAGGTGCACCTGATCCGGGCTATAGTCTTTGCAATTACATGCTATGTATCTGAGAGTTGGAGAGTGAATAGGGATGATAGAAAGGTAACTAATGCCTTTGAGCTGTGGTGCTGGAAAAGAGTGTTGAATATACCATGGACTGCTAGGAGAACAAACAGGTTTGTCCTGGAGAGGGTGAAGCCTGGCTGCTCCATGGAGTCAAGGATTCTGAAGCTACATCTGACATACTTTGGGCATGTTGCAAGGAGGGATGGTCCTTAGAGAGGGACATCATGTTTGGGAGAGTGGAGGGACAGCGCAGGAGAGGCAGACCCTCGATGAGATGGATCGATTCTGTGATTGGGGTGGTGGGAATGAGTGTGTCGGAGATGGTGAGGCTGGCACAGTACAAAGCAGCAATTAGGGCTCTTGTACATAGGATCGCTATGAGTCGCAAGCGACTCAACGGCACTTAACAACAACAAATACAATACTTCTATTCTATTCTGTTCTATTCTATTCTATTCTATTCTATTCTATTCTATTCTCAATAACATGAGTTTAGTGGTGCAATGTCTTGAGCATTTGGTTGTTAACCCAAAGGTTGGTAGTTTAAAAAAAAATTCATAGTTTGAACTCACCCAGTATTTCTTACAGAAAGTGAAGAATACATGAAGTTCTTATTGAAGATCAAAGACTATAGTTTTAAATGTGGATTATATCTCAACATAAAGAAAACAAAAATCCTCATCATTGGACCAACAGGCAACATCATGATGGATGGAGAAAAGATTGTCGTTGTCAAAGATTTCATTTTACAATCAACACCCATGGTAGTGCTGCCGTTATGTTCCCTGCAGTTGGGCCCAACCCATGACTGACCCTCCAGCTAGTTATCAGAGGCCGTTAACTGCATGGGAAGAGATTACCATCTTTTTCCTATGAAGCAGTTGGTGGAGGCAAAGTTGACAGGGAAACTCCTTACCACTAAAGCACCAGAGCTCCCTGTCCCATGACAGGAGCAATCAAGAAATCAAAATGGTATTACAATGGGAAAATCAAGGACCTCTCTTGAAAATGTTGACAACAACTGTCTCAGTTTAAAGACTAAGGTGTGCCTGACTAAAACCACAGTGTTTTCAATTACTTCAGACATATTTGAAAATTGAACACTAACTAAGTAAGATGGAAGAATTGGTGCCTTTGAATTGTGGCACTGGTAAATCATACTGAATATACAACGGGTTGACAAAGAGCACAAACAAATTTGTGTAAGAGGAAATGCAACCAGGATGCTCCAGAAGACAAAGATGGTGAAACTTCGGGCATGTCTCACATACTTTGGGCATGTTGTCAGAGGAGGCACCCCAGTTCTTGGGAAAAGACATCATGCTGGGAAAGGCAGAGGGTCAGCAAAAGAGAGGACAGTCCTCAAGGAAATGGACTGACATGGGGACAGCATGAGAGGACGGGGCAGGATAGAGAGAGGTTAACATCTGCTCATAGGGTCACTATGCATTGCAGTCAACTAACAACACCTAACAACAATGTCTCTGCAGGCGAAGACCTGCTAGTCTGCTTCTGTGAAGACCACAGGCGAGACAACCCCAGAGGGTTGTTTTCTTTTGAAACACAGGGCCACTATGAGTCAACAATCAACTCGATGGCACCTGACGACAGCCACAGCTGATGTTCCAGCCTTAGTACATGCTTTAACACAAACTTATCCTTACTATAGTCCAGGCAGATGGGAGGTGTTACGATCCTCATTTACAGATATAGGAACAGGTCCTGAGAGTGAAATGCAGAGTCACGTCTGATTTTCAAATAGAGCTGGGTGTTGAACCCAGGAAGTTTCGATCCAGAGTCCAAGCACTTACCCATGGTGCCCCCGCTAGCTCTGTCATCACAGCAGAACACAGTAAGCACCAGGAAGCTCGGAGGGGTTAGATGACGAGTGATTGTGACTCGGTCAGCGGTCAGCGTCTTACCTGCTACCTCTCTTAAATGCCTTCCACAGACACATGGGAATAGCAAACAGGAACCAAACAAATACTATTATCACAAGAATAAAAAAGGACAGGCTCATTGTGGGTATGGGGTGGGGCCCTTGAGAGGCCTAGCTGAGGACAAAGACAGACCCTGGGGACTGCAGAAACCGAGGATCTCCTGTCCATGCCCTGACCCTGGAGGAGGGGATGTGACGATAACACAGGGGCAGAGAGCAGACAGCAGAGAGGGCAGACAGCAGGGAAGCAGAGAACACGGCTCTGAGCAGCATTTAGGGGAGAAATGCTCATTCCTTCTGTCACACATTGATCCATCCAGTCTATACTCCACTCATGAGTTGTAGAAAAAAACCCAAACAACAAAAAACTGGATTTTTCTCTAGGGGTAGAATGTAAGGCTGCACCTCTCAGGCTTCCTTATGCCGGCTCTAAAGGTGGACAACCCTGTTTCCCATGCTAGTGTG